CTTACAGGAATATGTGCACACGCACAAGCATACACATGCATTTGTGAGCGCAGATAATTTTATATATTATACCAGATGTTCTCCACCTTTTCAGATTTGAGGCACCCATCAGAAAATGCCAGCTTTTATTAGTTTTCACATGTTTTTTTGACTACAGACAAATACTAGAAGCAATTCTTCTGTTGCAAAGACCTCAGAAAGCCCATAGCAGGTCAGACAGCTTTTAATACTATGGATTCCTATTTGAAATCTCTGTTTATCTTGTGAATCCTGTTTTCACATCTAATAGTGCACCCTATGAGGCCATGGCACCCTGCTGGAGAATCACTGTATTATACACATATATGCACACAAACAAGTGAACATACATTTTAAACTTCCAGGATATACTATTTTAAATGAGCACTTGCAAAAAAGAGAAAGAAAAATAGTAAAAAGTCAGGCGTCATCCCTCTAAGATGCATGGGTTCCAGAGTTCACTAAACAGACATGAAGCACACCCTGTCTCCAAAACCAGACCATCGCTGATTCTTCAGAGTAACGAAGGAATTGGTCACAATGCTCTTTGCTGCAAAATGTTATGCCACTGGAGGAATTTCTTTCCAAATCTAGACAATGCCTGAAGCCTGAGAAAGGCTACCTAATGAAAGATGCTATTTCTATTCATCAGTGATCCAAATTTATTTCAAAAAACACCTTATTCCCACTGGCCCTGCTATCCTGCATTAGTCATTTCTGCAGGTTAACCATGCTCATTATTCTGTTCTCAAGAATGGTTCCCATCACGGAGCACTCTTCCCCTTCCATGGTAGACCAGCTGGCCTCCCCTGCCCCACGCCACAGGAGCAAGGCTCAAGTATGTATGTGCAGGCTGTTCCTTACCACACTGGGTGATATTCATCTCCTGCAGGGGAATGACGGCAGCATCCATGGTCATGCAGTACAGCTCCTGGTTCTGCAGGTTTGCCTCACCCTTCTCCTGCCAGAGCTGAATCCAGCGGATATCACAGCTGCAGTTAAAGGGGTTTCTTTCTAGCCTCCTACAGACAAAGAGAATGTAAGACAAGGGGTGGGGTAGAATGAACAGGGTTATCACTGGTTATATAGGATCTCCACAGAGAAGCTGAGCGCCCAGTGATAAGAGGGAGGGTCACCCTTGCTATGGACCATTTTTGTACATCCTGCTATGAGTTTCCATGAGCCTGAAGAAGTTACGGATGTCCTGGGATGGTGAAGGGGGGCAGGACCTTAGGGATGCAGTTAGTACCTGCGCTGCGTTTTTGGCTTTGAGATCCAAGGTTCAAGTGCAACCTTAGGCAACATAATAAAATGCTGGGAGTATTCTCACACCTGGAGAGATCTTAAGATGAAACAGGGGATAGGGATGGGAGTTCAGGTCACACTTCTGATTTTATCCAAAAGGAGGCAATCTCTCTCTCTCTCTCCCAAGCATACAGACACACGGACACACAAATTCAAACATCTGGATTCATAAGATTCCAAGACTTTAAACATCCGCATGAATGCATTTATAATCACTAAGACTACCCATAAATGCATTTATAATCACTAAGACTACCCAGCTGTCCTAATACTCAGACCCACTGAGACCTAGAATATCAAGAAGCTCCTCTCTCAAAGGAACAGATGTAGCCACTTTTCCCCCTAAAGGTATAATTATAATTTGTGTCTTAAGACTGCAGGGCCTCTAGAGCCAGGACCCTCTGAGGAAGAGACTGGTCAGTTCAGTGCAAATCCCCAAGCCATCTGGGTGTGCTGAACAAAACACACAGCTCCTGTCCTTAATACCGTGCCTCAGTATATAACTTGAGGCTCCCAGCGATGTAGGACTCAAGTTAACACACAGCATATCATGCACATTAATCATATCAAGAAGCGCTGCGCTGGGACCCCACTGACCTGGCTGGGAGGGATAGAAGGGAACTCTGCCTTTAATAGACAGCATTTAATACACACTTAGATGTTTCAAACATAGGGAATGTTTGTTATTATTGATTTTCCAACCTATTAATTATTTCATTTACATAGAATCATAGAAAGTTAGTGCTGGAAGGGACATCAAGAGGTCACATGTAGTCCAACCCCCTGCTCAAAGCAGGATCAGCCCCAACTAGATCATCCCAGCCAAAGCTTTGTCCAGCTGGGTCTTAAAAACCTCCAAGGATGGAGAGTCCACAATCTCTCTGGGTAACCTGTTCCAGTGTTTTACTACCCTCCTAGTGAGAAAATTCTTCCTAAATATCTAATCTAAACTTCCCTTGCTGCAACTTGAGATCATTGCTCCTCGTTCTGTCTGCCACCACTCTCA